CACTTGCGGCAAAGGGAGGGGGTATTCTAGCAAGATGGAGGCGCCCGCACAACCAAAAGCATTTATTCTCCAACCAAAATTAACCAACATTTAATCTCCTCGGCGCAAATTTTTTATCTCTTCGGATCACCTTCAACTCGTTTCCCCAGTTCCTGTCAATTTCCGCAGCACCTAGAATTGTGGACTGTTCAAACACATGAATACTCGACATCCATATAATCATTCTATTAAAATTTTATGTTCCAGTACCGTATGATCATCTACCGGTGCATTTACTAGTTCTTGAAATGACAAATTTAGGTATTGAGTACCGGAATTATCAAAAAATAAATTTAAAAAAAAACTACTGAAATGCGGGGAAAACTTTGCGCCGTGAATTCTCAGCCAAAAGAGAATGAAAAAATCTAAAAGATGACCTAAAAAAATTGTTCTTTTTATAAAAACAGAATGAAGTGAGTTGATGGTGATCTGGAGTGGATAAATAATTTTAAGGAATGTTTAAAAATGCGAGGTGGAGGCGCCGCCATCTTTAAAGTCACTTGCGGCAAAGGGAGGGGGTATTCTAGCAAGATGGAGGCGCCCGCACAACCAAAAGCATTTATTCTCCAACCAAAATTAACCAACATTTAATCTCCTCGGCGCAAATTTTTTATCTCTTCGGATCACCTTCAACTCGTTTCCCCAGTTCCTGTCAATTTCCGCAGCACCTAGAATTGTGGACTGTTCAAACATGAATACTCGACATCTGTATAATCATTTTATTAAAATCATTTTCAAGTACAATATGCTCATCTACCGGTGTATTTACAAGTCCTCGGAATGACAAATTTACGTATTGAGAACTGGAATTATCAAAAACTAGTTTTTACTATGATTATTGTTCCATGGGCTCTTCTACATTAAGAAGCCTTGACAGCAAAAAACTACTGAAATACGGAGAAAACTTTGCGCCATGAATTCTCAGCCAAAAGAGAATGGAAAAATCTGAAAGATGGCTTTAAAAAAGTTGTTCTCTTTACAAAAACAGCATTAAATGAGTTGAGTGTGATCTGGACTGAATGAATAATTTTAAGAAATGTTTAAAAATGCGAGGTGGAGGCGCCGCCATCTTTAAAACTCCATCTTGCCAGCAAGATGGCGGCACTCACACCTGTTAACCGCCTCGTATTTTTGAACATTTCTAAAAATTATTTATTCCCATCAAACCACCTTCAACTCGATCCATCCAGTTTCCAGAAAAAGAACCAATTTTTCAAGCTATTCTTCAGATTTTTCAATCCCCTCCTGGCCGAGGTGAATTTATACTTCAGTTCTCCCCGCATTTCAGTATTTTTTTACTTCCAAGGTCACTCAAAGTACATTCTTATAAATATAATTCGTGTGGCCACTCATTGGTGAGCTATTTCCTTAATGGCACTTAGAGATTCTACAAGAAATTTTTCTCCATATTCATTCCATCCCCCCAAAATCGTCAAAACCGAACGAACATTCACATGAAAAAAATTATTTCGATTGATAAATTCATCGCACAAGAACTTATCTCCAATATTTTCAGTCAGTAAACTTTTATCATCCTCAAAAAAAAAGTATTTCAAATGATTTTTTTCATGAAACGAATGTTCATTTGGTTTCGATCGTCCTTCTGCTGTCTCATTATTATTATTCAATATATTACATTAAATATATTCGTTACATGTCTATTAAGTCGCTTATAAAATCGCAGTTTATACGAATCAATGATAAAGTTTCTTCTAATGATAAACTGAGTATAATAATCTCTCGACGATGAAAAATTCGATGTTAAAAATATTGAATTCCTTGAGATTCGATGAATAACATCAGCCATTTACGTATACAATTCAGCGAGGTATAACCCGATGCACAACCTCTAATGAGAATATATTCAGAATATACAATTTCATGTTACGAAAAATATCGTTTAAATATTCTTATTAACAATGATAGAATTAATTCAAGGCCTTTGCATTGAGCCACGATCTATCGGATAAATAAATTATCGTTAAACCTATGGGACGTTTAAGCTCACACGTCTCGCATTATTAAATATATTATATTTAAATATTTGGCTCTATTCATGAAAACTCTACCACGAGTGCTGATGATTCTGTACAGTTCGTTGATTCAAGAGAGTTTTATTCTCATGCCACATGCCTCATCTATTCAAGATGCATCACACATTAAACAATAAACAGAAGTTTTTAGAAATTAATTGAACGATGAAAATTGATTATTATTTGTTTAGACGATTGATTAAAGTGAATTTATTAAAAGGGATTGGAACTATTGAAGAACAGTTCAGTTAAATTATTGAAGCACTTTAAATACTGAAAACGATTGATAAATTTCATCATCATAATTTTGTTGATGAAAAGTTTATGAAAATAAATTAGATGATGGAAATTTTATTATTATTCGTTCAGGGTATTTTTAAGTCTCGAGAGTCGAATTGCATGTCAATTAATGAACGAATTGATTAAACATCGATTGGAAAAATTATTTAAGGCCAATTATACAATTCAGTTATTGATTATTCAACTCAATTATTGAAGCACTTTGAGTTATACTGTTAAGAATAAATAAAATGTCACCATAACAAATTGAATAATGAAAATTGAATTGTTCTCCGTTCAAAGAAATGTTGACTATTCCAACAATTTCCATTAATTAATGAATTAGCAATCGATTTATTTTAAAAGATGATGGACGACGCGGTGATAATAAATTTAAACAGCTAGTCAATTCAATTCTTGAAGCATTTTAATTACTGCAAACGATTGATAAATTTTATCGTCATGATTTTGTTGATGAAAATAAATTAGATGATGGGAATATTATTATTTTTTGTTCAGGGTATTTTTAAAAGTCTCGAGAGTCGAATTGCATGTCAATTAATGAACGAATTGATTAAACATCGATTGGAAAAATTATTTAAGGCCAATTATTCAATTCAGTTATTGATTATTCAACTCAATTATTAAAGCACTTCGAGTTATACTGTTAGGAATAAATAAAATGTCATGATTACAAATTGAATAATGAAAATTGAATTCTTGAAATGTTGACTATTCCAACAATTTTCATCAATTGATGAATTAGCAATCGATTTATTTTAAAAGATGATGGACGATGAGGTGATAAATTTCATTGTCATAATTTCGCTGATAAAAAGTTGATGAAAGTAAATTAGATAATGGAAATTTTGTTATTCTTCGTTCAGGGTATTTTTTAAGCCCTCGAGAGTCAAACTGCATGTCAATTAATGAACGAATTGATTAAACATCGACTGGAACAATTATTTCAGGTCAATTACTAAATTCAGTTATTGAAGCACTTGACATGAGAGCAAATTAAATAATGAAAATTGAATCTTCTCCGTTTAAAGAAATTTGTCATCTCTCGAGAGTTGAATGAAATGTTGACTATTTCAATAATTTTGATCAATTAATTAATTAGCAATCGATTTATTTTAAGAGATGATAGACGACGAGGTGATTAAAAATTTGAGCAGCTACTCAATTCGATTCTTGGAGCATTTTAAATAGTCGAAATAACTCAAGAATTTCAGTTTTATAATTTTTTAAGAATTCTCTAAGCATTTAAAATGCACTTTATAATGTCAAAAATTAATACAGTATCATAAAAACAAATTAAATTATGGAAATTGGAGTATATTTGCTGAACCAATTTTTGTAATCCCTCGAGGGTTGGATTGAATGCTAATTATTCTGACGATTTTCATGAGAGAATAAATTATCGAGCGATTGAATCCGGGAGATAATGAACGACGAATCATTCAAAGAGAATAATTCAATTCAAATAATTGAAAAATGGAGTGGCTAGATTATTTTTTAAGACTTTGGAATGCCCTTCACACTGTTAAGAATAAAGAAAATGTCATGTGCCAAAATTGAATTACGAAAACGGAATTCTTCTCAGAGGGATTCTTAATCTCTCAAGAGTTGAATTGCATGGTGATTGTTCCAACAATTCCCATAAATTTATGAATTAGTTGATTCAAAATTTGAACAGCTGTTCGATTCAACTGAGGAAATCAATTCTTTAAATGCATAAAAATCGTGAAGCGAAGTGATTCAAATTTTTATCGAGGTGCATTCCCCAAATAAATTTTCTTTGTTAAGGGAATTTTTTAATCTCTCGAGAGTCAAAAAAAATGCTAATTATTAACAATTCCCATAAATTTATGAATTAGTTGATTCAAAATTTGAACAGCTATTCGATTCAATTAATTAAGCACTTTAAATACTAGAAAACTGAATAAATTAATTCTTTAAATGCATAAAAATCGTAAAACCAAATATTTGAAATTTCCCTCGTGAGCTGCATGCCCCAAATAAATTCTCATGGTCAACAGAATTTTTTAAATCTCTCGAGAGTCGAAAAAAATGCTAATTATTAACAATTCCCATAAATTTATGAATTAGTTAATTCAAAATTTCAACTGCCATTCGATTCAACTATTGAAGCACTTCAAATACTGAAAAACTGAGGAAATGAATTCTTCAAATGCATAAAAATCGTGAAGCGAAGTGATTCAAATTTCTCTCATGAGGTGCCTCCCCCAGATGAATTTTCGAGAACAATCAATCCTTCTCTTGTCAACGAAAAATCCAGAAGAAAAATTCGAAAAGTCAACTATTCAATTCAACCACTGAACGCTAAAAAAATTTCTAAATTTAATTTCGTTCATTTGATTTTGAAATGAGTAGAAATCGTTAAAGATCTGTAACCGGGCCCATGAGGCTGATATTATTGAGAGCAGACTCATGCCCAAAATCATCGAAATCATCGTCCTCTTGGTGTTGGTCGCTCTGGTCGCCCCCAACCCCGTCCTCGGATTTCAATGGGTCAGACACAAGTTTCCTGATATCAGCGGCAGTCTCCTCGTTGCTCGAGCCATTCATCTTTTTACGCAAGATGTCCACCAGTTTCTCCAGTCTGATAAATCACGTTTCCGGTTACGTTCTTTCCCTCTCCTTCCATTCCACGTCTAACCGATCGAAAGAAACGTTTTAAAGATATTCTTTAGAAGCAGGCTAAGCGGATAGTTCAGGGCAAAGCCATGCTGCCAACTAGAAAACAGAGAAGTTGTGGACGAATTCACCGATTCACTGCTTCCGTGAATGATTGAATTCGAGGGAAAACGAAATTCAGAGTGAGTTAGACAGAACTTTTTTCAGTATTTCAGATTCAGAAGCTGAAGTTTTGGGTGGGATTCCAAGCTGGCAACTGAATACTTAAGAAATGTTGGTGGAGAACGGGAGAGAGAAACAAAAAATTTATAATATCTGGAGTTTTTTGTAGAAAATTTGAAATATATTTTGACATTTTTTGATTAATTGATTAGTTTCCAAGTTTTTTGCAAAATAAAGAAGTGATTCGCAATTTGTTGGATGATTTTGCTAAGATTATTTCAAAATATCGTGAGAATTCATGGATTTAATAAAAAATGACAGATATTTCTGTAGAGAATTTAAAGAGTTTCAAAAAATATTTCTGATGTTTTTGCCTCAACTAGTTGCCAAGACTGATGAGGTAAACTTCAAATTGAATTGTGAATTTTCAATGTTTTTTGACATTTTTTGATGATTGACTAGTTTTCGAGATTGTGGCGAAATAAATAAGTGATGAAGAATGTTGAAAATTTACAAAAAACTTTTTTTATCTTTTTTTCCTCGACTCACTAGTGTCCAAGATTACCGAAATCAACTTCAAATTTATTTTTATGAAGAACTTAACGAACTTCAAGAATTTAGGGGGAATTATCTAGATTTTTTACTAAAGAATTCTAAATCTTTCTTGAAATTTTTTGATGAATTAATTAGCTTTCAAGGATTTAAAAAATTGAAGAAGTAATTTAAAATTTGTTTTCAAATGTTTTCACGCCGAATTTACAAATATTCCAGGAACTGATAAATTTTTCGTAGAAAATCTCAAGATTTACAAAAAAGTTCTTTTTTTATATTTTCCGTCAACTCAGTAGTATTCAAGATTGACGAAATTAACTTCAAATTCACTTTTATAAAGAATTTAAAAAATTTCAAGAGTTTAGAGGGAAATATCTAAAAACTAGAATTTAAAATATTCCCGAACAGTTTTTTGATGAATTTTTGAGTTTTCAAGAATTTGGAAAATCAAAAAAGAAATTCCTAATTTTTTAGAAAATGACTGCAAGCTTAATTCGCAAATATCTCAGGAGCTGATAAATTTGTATAGAGAATTTCAAGATTAAAAAAATTTGTTTTTCCTCTACATCACTAGTGTCCAAGACAGACAATTCATGACTGAAATTCACTAAAATTCAAACATCAAAATCAACAAAAAATGTCTTCCAACATTTCCCTTCAAATCCATTAAAAAACGTTATTTCTCAACCACTTAGCAGCATCTTTGAAATCAATTAATCAATCAAACTTCACGACCCCTTCACTATAAAATCTCAAAACCTACAAAAAAACTCCCTCCACATCTTTCCTAAAAATGAATAAACAATCTCCAAATCTGTCTCAACCATTCAACATCTCAATAATCAACAAATCATCGAATAAATAAAAAACCCATTAAACTGAATAAATTCAATAACCATAAGTTTGGCTAAACACCAACAAAAATTCTCCCGTTCTCCCCCACCAACCAATAAAAAACTGCCAAAACACCTACAAAATCTACAACCACAACCCCATCCCCCAGTGCACACCCCGAAGCTAAGGGAAGGGAAATCGTGAATGAATGTCCGCGAAAAGCGAAAGCAGATGACTCTCTACCCCACAGCATGCATCCTGAACCCTCTCGAACTCTACATTAAAATCTGTACAGAAAAATCCAGAACCCCAAGCCCCGAGACATCGTGATGGCAAAAAAAAATCGCATTGTGACGACCCCGTACGTAACCTAGATGTAGGCGGTGGTATAAGTGGCGCGTGAAGGTGCTGTCAGGACTCTGGAGGTCAGGATTCTCGTCGAGCACAGGTCTTTAGGTACCAGTGGTTCGCCAGTGACGAAGACAACGTCTGGAATATCACTGAGTCCTCTCTTGCGTCTCGGTTTGGCTTTGCTGCTGCACTTGATGAATCTGTCGGGATCAGACTCTGAGGAGGAGCAGTTGGAGATGTTGCGATGTCTGAAGCACTTAGAGTTCTCCAGACACTCGCTATTGCACCGAGAAACCGTTTCCCTTCGATTTTTTGTTTCAGAACTCTTGTCCTCAGGGAGTGACTGCTTCCTCTCCAAGTGATAATTAATCAATCTGTCAAGGGCTTCTCTCTCGTCAGGCTCCAGCGACTGCATCGACTCCTTTCTCGAGCTCATCATGTCCTCGTCCTTGGAATTATCATCTGGTGAATTCCTCTCTGTTGGCCCCTGCCACTGCCAATTTGTCTCCTCAGAGGGAATTCTCGACGAGTTGGAGGGGGACAGGGAACTCGGTGGGGATGAGGTGACTGACGAGGATGCTTGGGTATCGGTACGCACGGGGGTGCTGGTTATACAGGAATTGTCAAATGTTACTGGCGTGATACATGGCATTATTGCTTCGTTTACGCACTTTGTTGCATAATTCTCAGCTAGATGACGGGAGGATCTTGCTTCCTGGAGTTCACGACGCAGTGCCAGGGTTTCTTCCTCGAAGGCTGCTATCTCACGACCCTCATTGCTAATACCGAAAGCCAAATTTTCATTTTAAGCCACCGTTACCAGGGGGAATTCATCCGCAGAGAAGAAAATTTTGTGGAGTCAAGAGTACACACAGAAAAATGATTTGAGTCTAATAAATAAATTTGTTTAAATAGCATGAAATAAAGTTTTTACTCAAATTAAAACATTTTTTTGAGGTTTTGTTCATATTAAATAAATGCTTTTTAAATTCAGCAGCGTAGCGGTAAACCGGGTTAAGTCGATTTTGACTATTGGCCAGTTTTTGACGAATATCTCGGAATCTAACAGAGATAGAAAATTTTTTGTCATAACCTTTTTTGTCGATGCAATTAAGTGTTATAAAAAAGGTCATGAGAAAAATTTCGCTATCTCTCTTAGGTTCCCAGATATCCGTCAAAAAGTGACGAAAAGTCAAAATCGACTTAACCCGGTTTACCGCTTCGCTACTGAATTATTAATAAAGGTTTATTTGATCTAAATGAAGTCTTCATTAATAATAAAAAAAGATTTTTGTGTTAAGAAAATTTCTTTAGTTGAATTTAATGCATTTTTTCTTTGAACTTGATATCAATTTATTTGATGCAAATAATTAATTATCGTTTAGGAATTGATATCGACTCAAAAAAATAGAAGAGATAATGCAATAGTTATTGCAGGAGAATTGTCGTCAGAAAATACAGGAAAATGTAATTATTTTTTAAATAAGAAAACTCTCTATTTCAAAGGATTAAACTGTTTATTTGATTTTAATGAATTGTTTATTTTATGTAATTAAATATTTTGTTTAGAAATAAGTAAATGAGTTTACTCATTTCTAACGACTTTCTTGAAACTAGTAAAATATTTCGAAGAAAATTTTTTATTTGATTCAAATGAACCATTTTTCTGGGTGTTTTTTAAATTTATTATTGATATCTTAGTGATATCAAGAGGCGATGACATCGAAGATTTGTATTCGAATGCCAGTGAAATTTGCACATGGAATAGAAAAATAAAAGACCATCTACTGAGGCAAAGCAGTTTTTTTTTAATTTTTGACTTTTAATTGAGTTAAATTTCTTAATTCAATCAAAATGTTCTCTCCGTGGATTTTTTTTCTAGGAGAAGCTCTAGCTGAGAAAGTAGAGAATGTGAAGGTGCAAGCACTGTCGAAGATATACTTTTTGATGGACACTGATGAAAAAAAAAGATGAACAATAAATTGTGAGAATTTTGAGAGATTTTGGAGAAGGAAATTTGGAGGAAATCCACAGATTTACAAACGAAAACGAAATTAACGATTCTTTACATGTCGTAGTTGAATTATAGAACAACTTAACGTATTGTAGGTCATCAATTATGGAATCATCTCGGTAACTGGTTATTGTCGGAGACAGTGTCAATGTTTATTGTCTTGAGAATTTTCTGCAAAAAGTATCTTTGAGCGTTTTGTTCCGAGATGATTCGATAATTAATGAAAATTAATAAAAATTAATAAATATCCCATAATTAATCGAATTAATGTCCAGATTATGAAATGAGCCAATCGATCTCATCGTTTTAAATATGAAATTATCTAGTCAATCAATGATTTTAGGAGAAAATGTGAAAAAATATTATTTCTGGGGAATTTCATGATCTACAAAAAATTATTTGTGACATTTCTCTCTAAAATCAGTCATTTTTCAGATAATTTCATGTTTAACAAAGATGTAACAAAAATATCATCTCTTTAATAAATAATTCTGGGAGAAAATGTCAAGACTTCTTGTGTTGGAAATTTTCTACAAAAATATCTGTTAACATTTCGTTCTAGAATCAATCATTCCTGAGATGCTTCCATAATTAATGCAAATATTTACAGAATTGTGAAATGAGCCAGTTGATATCTTCCTTTTAATTATGAAATTATCTAGTCTATCAATAATTTTAGGAGAAAATGTAAAAAGACTTTTTTGTGAGGAATGTCATGAACTAAAAAAAATGTTTTGTGACATTTTGCCCTAGAATCACTCATCTCCCAGATAATTTCACATCCAACAAAAACGTCCTCAGGCTTCGGGGACTAAATCCTGTTAATCTCAACCTGTTAATTAAAAAATTATCTAACTAACGAATGATTTCATAATAAAATGTCTGGAAATTTTTCTCCAAGCCCATTCCTACCTCAAATAATTCCACAATCAAAAACGAAGTCCCATCAGACTAATCTCAACTCCTCTCACTAAAAATTCCAACTGAATTTCCCAAACACAGACCATCACTCACAAATACTTGTACTTACTTTGCATTGATGCTGAGACGAGCGACTTCCTCTTCGAGTTTAGCGATACGTTTATCGCCATCTGATTTTTCCTCAGTGATTTTAGCAAGACGCTCCTGCATGCGACGATGACAAAAAACAAAATATCATCCATGAGAATAATTATAATTAATAATTCTAATTTTCAGTCTGGTGTTGAGACGAGGATGGAGAAGAAAAATGTTAAGTTCAATTAGGAAATTAACGGAGGACGGCGACGGCCATTGCTACGGTTGATGAGGCTAATGGATGAAGTGAAACCCGAGATGACTGGAAGAAGGAGGTCGATGAGGGACTCTGACAGCCGCTAAGTGCCTCAAACCCGAGGCCCCCCCGCCCCTCTTCACCCTTCATGTTCCCAGGGAGAAGTTCCCCAATGTGAAACCTAATCATTTGGAGTGCCTACACCGCTACACCTATTCTGTACCGAGTTTGACTACACGCCCCCATCCATCCGGAATCAGATCAAACGTGTGGGCTTTCCTAATCCACCGTATGAACGTTATATAAGTCATTCTATCTCAATTATTTTAATATTTAAAAAATTACAGGAATAGAGGAGATTGGGGTGAAATGGACATTTTTGACTTTTTTTAAAATGTTAATGACGGGTAGAAAAGCTGATGAAATTTAATATTTTTTTTCCAGTGCAAAGAACAATTCTTTCCCTTTGTCATGAGCCTAAACTGAACTCAATTGATAAATTTGTTTGCGAGTTATGAATAATTTTAAAAAAAAGTCTAGTGTCCATTTTACCTCACCCGCCCCTAAATGGTTTTGTTCTATTTAGAAAATAGAATTTTTGATTGAAACTCCAATTGCGATGACACAAATGCAAGAATAAAAATGCTCAATTGATTTAATTTGATGAATTGGAAAAAGTTTGATTGAAATTTTTTAATTAATTAATTGCCAATGAAGTGGTTTTAATCGATAATTTATTTATTTTGATTACTGAATTGCTGGGAATTCCATTTGTTATTTTTCCTATTTCAACCCAAGTTCTTTGAAAAGTCGGGTTTTTATTTTTTAATTCCCGTTAATTAATCAATCAAATGGTTTTAATTGGTAATTAATTTATTGCGATTAGTCAACTGCGAGGAATTTTATATGATTGACATTTCAACAACTTGAAATAAAGCAATAGTCGTGATTTTGTTAAAAAAAGTCTCATTTCGCAGATAAATTTACATTTATCAAAGATGTAATAAATAAATAAATGAATAAATAAATAAATAATGAAAAAAATGACAGAGATAACTCGTTTTTTTTCTGTTAAAAAAATTGTATTTTTTGATTGAGACTCAAATTGTGATGAAAAAAACAGAATAAAAATATTCAATTTATTTAATTGCATGACTTTAATTATGTTGATCTCATAGATATCGTTTTGCAATTGTTGAATTTCGAAAGCTGATATTCGCGAAAATTTAATGACAAATTCTCAAACAATTTTATTTTGGAAAAAAAATGAGTTAATGAAAGAATGTCAGAATAATTTCTCTCGTTGGTAATCATGAAAAAATTGATGAACAATGACAAGAATAAAAATTCCCCATTGACAACAATCAACCGTTTAAAAACAATGTTTTCAAATTTTTTCGCCTTTCCATTTCACCCCGAATTGTTAAAAAAATAGATTAAAATTTTTAATTCATCAATTGATCCCCCAAAACGTCTCAATTCATAATCAATCAATTTTGACAATTAAAGTATGTAGACTTTGATGCTATTGACATTTTCATCAATGTAAAAAATACTCAAGCGAGTTTGTTTGACCGATGGCAACGTTTATCGATGTCACAGTGCCACGAGAAATACACTGAACAAATAAAACAAGGAGACACGTCCTCGGAAGTCAGTGGAAAATCTAAGAACCAAGGAGGGAATTCATTATCGTCTCCTGCGTTTGTACAATGTCAGTTATATTTTGCATTCGAAGGTGGCCAACTATAGCCGTGAAATTCATCAGTAATTCGGCGCACGGAGATTTACGTCGCACTGAGTAATTCCTGTGCAAACGAGCATTGAGAGGTCTGATGTTAACGAGTGAAAACTTGATTTTTTTTTTGTTTCACTGAATCAACAATTGCAGTTGTTTAGCAACTGAGAGTATCATCTTAAGGCCCGGGTGTACTATCTCTCGAATGTTATCATTTTTTTTTCATCTTTCGTAATCCAAAATTGTCAATTGAGTGGTACATCATATAGAAATTCCCAAAAATTATAATAGAATGATAAAGAAAAAATAAAAAAAATTCTGAACTTTTTCAACGAGCGTTTTTAATTGAGATTCAGAATGAGTTGAAAAAAGTTGAAATTACAAATATCTGATTCGATGATATCTGATTCTGATGATAATAATTATATTATTATTATTATTATTATTGTTATTAAATAATAATAATTATTATTATTGTTATTAAATAATAACAATAATAATAACAATAATAACAACTGCTAAAATCATTTCAAATCCTTCAAAAAAAAATCAGCATAATTTCCCCTGTATTTAGAATCATTCGAAAGCAATATGATCCCCAAGAGATGCACACAGGGGATCACCTGGCCACAGTCCCGATCAAACAGAGGTGAAAAATTCCGAGTAAACATTTCCATTCATCTGAAGTGGGCCCTGCAGGCACGAAAACCCTATAAAAAAGACCGCTTTGTTTTCCATTCCCACACCTCCCAGATTTTTCCTTTCAAATAACCGCCTTTTTGGGGATCTGAGCTGGGATACTCCAAGGAGTTGAGTATTCTCGAGGACGTGATCAGAGTCTCCTGATATTGGTAATCAATTCGTATGAAATGCAAACGTGACATTCAATGTTACAGGATCAGGTAATTATTTCTCTTACTGCATCTCAATTATTTTAATATGAAAAAATGGCGAAGGTGAGTAGTGCATTCATAAAAAACGGTTCCCTTTGATTTAAATTAAAATTATGATGAAGGAAAAGTCAATTTTTATGTATTAGAATTGATGGACAATAACAAGAATACAAATTTTATTTATTTATTGATTTTAGTCGTATGACTAATGGAATTGTTTTTTTATTCGTTATTTCTCTTATATTATCTCGAATTGTTGAAAAACTTTAATTATAATGCTTTAATTCATATTCAATAAGCAATCTAATGGGGTAATATTACAATTATTGCATTTGGACTCTAGAATTTCGAAGACTTTAATGATTGAAATTTGCAGAAATTGAATGAAAAATCTGGAAGAAGTTCGTTTGGAAAAGAAGTTGTTCTAATGTCACGTTTCCATTGTCAAATTATTTTGCCTAAGAATCAACAATGTAAGGGCTATATTTTGTGATAATTTTGTTTGATTATCAGTTGAATAAATGCACCTGAAGAGGAATGCCTAGTGCATTTGAAACATTGTGCAATTCCTCTTATTTTGTGGACTGTTTCTCATTTCTCACCGTTTTTTGAATATTTGGGTGAAGCGTTTAACCGACAATAATAGCCGAAAAAAATTCAATTTCAAGAAAGAACTTGAAGTCGAAATAATCATTTTATAACATTTTTTAAAATCCCGACACATTCTAAATTTTTTCTTCCAAATAGCCGTCATTTGGGGAAGATGAGCTGGGATATTTCGAGAATTTGGATATTCTCAAGGACGTGAACAGGATTTTATGGCATTGGTAATCGATTTGTATGAGTTGCAGACATGCCATTGAAATTTTCAGGATTAGGCCATCATTTCTTCTATCGCATCTCAATTATTTCGATACGAAAAAATAACAGGGATAAAAAAATCGATTTTGTTTAGTTAGAATTAATGGACAATGAAAGAATAAAAATGTTCAGTTGATTTAATTATAAGTGATGATCGGAATCGTTGAAAAACTTTGATTATAATATGTTAATTCATAACTTTGACATTATTAATTTTTTTTTAAATTGAATAAAAAATTCTCGAGCAAGTTCTTTTGGAACGAAAGTTGTTTTTAACACTCTGATTGAGTTATTATTGGGTTATTATGATGTAAATTTTCAATAAAATATCTGTTTTCAAATTATTTTGATTAAAAATCAACAGTATAAGGGCAATATTTTGTGATAATTGTGTTCATTTATAGATTCGAATAAATGCACCTGAAGAGGAATGCCTAGTGCATTCGAAACATTGTGCAATCTTCTGTTATTTTATGGAGTTCTTTGTATTTCGCTTCATTTTTTGGATATTTGGGTGAAGCATTTGACCGAGAATAATAGCCGGAAAAAATTTAGTTTTAAAAGAAGGAAACAATAATTTTATAAAATTATTTTGAATCCCGACACGTTCTAAATTTTTTCTTCCAAATAGCCGTCGTTTTGGGAAGATGAGCTGGGATATTTCGAGAATTTGGATGTTCTCGAGGGCGTGAACAGGATTTTATGACATTGGTAATCGATTTGTATGAATCGCGGACATGCCATTGAATGTCATAGGATCAGGTAATGGTCGGTGTTATCGTGTTGAACGTTCGTGTTTGACATATTAATGAAGCTTACCTTGACCTCCTCGAGCTCCAACAGCCTTTGATTATTCTTCTCCTCGATTATTGCTGATATTCTGGCGTTCATGGTCTCCTCCAGGATTTTATTTGCCTGTCTCATTTCCCCAATGATATCTGAGCATGAAAATTAAATTTATTCATGAGGTTGAATAATAAAGATCGTTGAGAGGTCAAAGGTGTGAATTGTTACCTGATAACATTCCTGGCTGGTAGTCTAGAGATGTCTGTTGCTTCACCCTGGATAACTCAGCTTTCACGTTCTCCAGGGACAATTTTGTCTCGTGAAGCTCCTTGAACATTTGACTATTCGATTCCCTCAGGTTTGTCATCTGCAGAAGAACGAAAATAAATTCAATTAATGACAAATAATTAGGTTATTGTGAAATACATTTAAGGATTATTTTGAAAATATCAGGAAAACTTGTTTTCTTGGCAATCTGAAGTCATACAAAAAATTTTTCTTTACATTTTTCAATGAAAACCCCATGGTTTTAGAGATATTTGCCAAAAAATCTGTATGAATTTTGAAAACTAATTGTCTTTAAAAAAAATTGGGTTGGATTTTTGTGAATATCTTGGGAAGGAGTAGGTTTAGAAAAAAATGTGATGCCAACTTTTTGTAGAGAATTTCATGACCTAAAAGAAGTCTATTTGCCATTTTTCTCTAAATCCAATAGTCTCAGAGATTTTCGCAATCTACAGATTTAAATCCACCAATTCAAAAATTCCAAATGCAGTAATAATAATACCTTGAATGGTTCGAATTTCAAGACTTGAAAAATGCCTTAACCCCATGGCTTATTCGAAAATTAAAAATTTGCTGATTGAAAATTAATAATTTGGTTATTTTTTCTCCCGTGAAATGTTTTTCTACTTTTGTAATCGAACATCAGAGCTTCCATCTGAGCCACATTTTACAATGATTTTATTATATAAACTTTCCAGGTCTGAATTTTAATCTCGATATTGAACCGTTAGAAAACACTTTAATAATCTGAAAAAAAAAATGGAAAGTTTTCCTCCAATATTAATTTCCAAAGTTACTAAATTCTTCTAACCTAGATCGTGGGATAGTGGAAAAAGAGTAGCAACACTCAATACATTGTCAAGAGCGTGAGGAAACTTCAATTAAAAGCGAAACGTTGCGAATTGGCAATGTACTGAGCGTTATTCTTTTTCCCTATTTCATGATGTGCGTTAGAAAAATTAGAAAGTTTACTCTTGGAGGAACATCCATAAAATAATTGAACAATGACAATTTTTGAGAATTGCAAAATTGCAACCAAACTGTCAAAAATACTTGGATATCCTCAAAGATTCCTAGCTAGAATTCTTGCTCGAAGCTTCCAAAAAAACCATGCAATAAACCATGTTAATCACCTGTTCAACCAGGGAAAGCACGAGTTTGTTATTCTTCCCCACAGTAGTGATGGAGCTTCCACTCTCCCCACTATCAGACTCATCACTCCTGCAGTTCTCCAACTCAGGAGGGCCTAGCCCAGGGTCGGAGTACCTCCTGTGCTCCGAGCTCATCTCCCCCACCTGCTCTCTCCCCTCGTTATTGGCAGTGGGTGGCAGAGAGGCGTAATCTCCATTCTGATAGAGATGAGGTGTCATGTAGCTCGTTCTGTTCTCCTGGAGGCTGGAGTACCCATTCACAATGCCATGGACATTCTGGTGGTGTTGAATGTGCCGCCGACCCCTGCCCCTGAAGGGCCTGTAGTTGGGCTGAGGCACAGGCCTGTACAGTGGGTACATGGGGGGCATGGAGACTGGCTCCATGGTGTAGGCCATGGGAACAGCCGAATATCTGCAGACACTGGGGTCTGACATTGCTGTGAAGAGCCTTTGACCGTTGTGGGGCTGCATGTGGGGGGGAATGGCCCCTGGCTGCTGCCAAAACATTCCACCGTAGTCCAGGGGTGGGACAGATGCTTCAGAGCCATCATTCTGGTCCTCAGAACACCAATCCACTCTGGGACTCGGGGGTTTCTTGCTCGTTCGCTTTTTCGGCTTTCTCGAGAGTCCGGAGGTTCTTTCTAGGCGTCCCATTTTCATATGATCGGATCTGGGAATTTAATTTCGAAACTTTAGAGGTTTTTTAAAACAGAAAGGTCATTTAAAAAAGAGAGGAGATTCAAGAAAAAGAATTTTGTTTTTGGAATCTTCGGTGTCTGATTACTGGACGATACGACTTGAATGAATTTGGGGGCATTTTGAAGGTTGTAAAAAGACGTTGAAAATGACAAAAAATGGTCGATTTTCACTCTGCCGATCGGGAGATATCGGCAATCGAAGACAGCTCATCTTATTGTACTCCTGTCGTAAATGTGTAATTATCTCATTTAAAAAAATGTAATTATCTCTGTAATGAATGCCTCTAGCCCAAAATACCATAAGACCTTTTTTGTAGCTCATAAAATTCCCTACAAAAATTGTTCTGTGACTTTTCCTTCTAAACCCACTCACTGTCAACATAATCAACAATGAACGAAATGAAAGGAATCAACGAGTCACGTTTTGATGTTTACTACCGATTTAATTCATCATTATTCAATTTCCTCGTGATAATGCAAATCAATGACTCATTATTGATTGTTTATCCAGTCTTCATGACCGAGTAATCGATATCCAACGGTTCGAATCGTATTACGAAGGTTGGACAACAACATTCCTGCAGCAACTCCCCAGAGTTTCAGGAATTTCGAAGAAAAAAAAAAAGAAAACCTCGAGAAATTCGTTGACTTATTATATACTCGCCGCATTATTTCTCTATCTCATTATCCTAATTTTCCTATCTTATCGCGCTCACTCCCTCAATAATCGTCGAAACATCACCAATCCAACAAAAAGATTCGAAATCACATCTTCCAACTAAATGGGGGAATGCAAGTACTTTGGGTATTCTTTTTTCGTTCAAATTATTGCCTCCGTTTTTAACTGAACGTCAAAACTTCCATTGAAGCCCCGTTTGACCCTAAATTCCCAAACATCTGGCAATGATTTTATTATTTCGATTTTGGAAATTTCATTTTAATTCTTCATGTGAAATTTTTAGAAAACATTGGAAAATTTTGAAAAAATGAGAAACTTTAGGTTTGGAGAGAGATTTATAAAATAATTAAAAATTGTAATTTTCGAAGATGACGAGCGTTTTCATGAATAATTTATAAACAATCAGTTTGCCAGTCAGAAAATAATTTTCTCGAAATTGTATAAATCTTTCTCCGTTTAGAATTTCACTAGAAATCCATTTCACGGAAAAAATGAGGTTTTTGAAGATGTAAACGATTTCAATTATTTATTTATGAAAAGGAAGTATTTAAAAAAATTTCTATTTTCTTGCAAAATGTTATTTGAACGACCCTGGATATTCATGATTTTTTTTTAAATTTTTCTCACCCAATTTAATTGAGAAATTTCATAATTGAAAATCTCAGAATCTTTAATGTGGGTTTAGATTGAAATGTTAGGGATACTTTCGGAAAAATTATTATCACTATAAGTTCGTCATCAAGTTAATTTCATAAGTAAATAAGATGTCATATTCCACCGAGTCATGAAGTGAATTTCGTTCATTCATTTATTAATGATTTTAGGAATTTTTAATTAAATGTTATGACTTTTTTCGGGATTTGAGGGAGTTGATAGACTCGAATTGTTAAATCAATCCCAACAATCGAGTCTATCAACTCCCTCTAATCCCAAAAAAAGCTCTCAAATACATCTCGTCAAACAGTAAAAGGTGCTTGAATATTCCTAAATGAACAATTATCTATAACATTCCTGTTTAGAATTCAGAAATGTGTTTCATTTTATTTTATTATGTTATGTTATTTTATTTCATTTCATTATCACCAAAAATATCATATTTAACTTAACCATCAAGTTTATTCCTTTCATTCTTGTACGAATGACCCTAGGGATGTATAATTAACTCTCAAGAGACTTTTTTATAGGAAACTTTCTTCGCTCCAAAAAGGTATTTTGACATTCTACCACTTGTTACCGAGATAATTCCCATCCGAGATAAAAATAATTCAACAGGGTTGGGTGGGGTAAAACGGACACTTTCGACTTTTTTTTTATTATTCATAACTCAGAAACAAATTGATCAATTGAGCTCAGTTTAGGCTCGTCACAAAGGGAAAGAATTGTTCTTTGTATTGAAAAAAAAATTATTGAATTTTATCAACATTTCAACCCCTCATTAACATTTTAAAAAAAGTCAAAAGGTCCGTTTTACCCCAACCTCCCCTAACGTAATTTTTCACATTGATAAACCCCTCGATTTTCCGAATTCTATACCAGAAGCCAATACTCGAAGCCATTATTCACTAGAACTGTTAAATCAATCCCAACAATCGAGTCTATCAACTCCCTCAAATCCCGAAAAAAGCTCTCAAAAACATCTCGTGACTCACCTGTCGTTCATGATCGACTGCCGATGGCAAACTGACACCCCAAAGGCACTTACTCCAAACCACAATGCCTCCAATTACTATCGGTACGTGAAAATAATACAATAACGCGGCATGAGAGGTTGTCTTTTAACTTTGACCTAGGTAACTACGTCAGAACCGAGTTGATCGAACGCCGCCATTGTTGTGGACAGTACGAGTGTCGCGGCGGGGTGGAGGGGATGACCGTGACTCAAAAATCACGTCTGTCATTACGTGGAACATGTCATTAGATTGCATTGTCCCTCGTAGAATGAGAGAGATGAAATTGTTTGCTGGGTTTGCGGTAGTTTTATGTGATTATTCGGATGGAATGCAGTCGCGGCGCATCCGATTCTGCGCAAGATGGCCGACATTTTTTTGTTTTCGTCCTTTGTTGGGGATTCAGGGGAAATTGTGGGGTGAAGGAGTTTTTAGGGGTTTTTTAAGAGTAAAAAGGGTTATTAGAGGATTTTTTAGTTGATTAATTGGGGGAAAAGATTGTCTCTTATTAAAAGAAAGCATGGGCGATATCTCGAATCGAAAGCGAGAACTCGAATATGGCGAATGTCTCGAACGAATGAAAATTAAGGCGGTTTTCATGAGTACAATCGCCTTGTGTCGCATTTTCATGAAGCCCGCCTAACAAATAAATAGAGAATTGAATGCCATTCTATGAAACATGATTAAACGAATCATAATTGTGCAAATCATTTAGGTCGGAGAAAAATAGAATAATTCTACTTTCTTAATATTGCGGTTACTAAGGTTTTCTTCGAGCAAAGTTGATTGGAATTAATAGTTAGAAATATGAGATTATCTCCCATTTTTGAAGTTAAGGATGGGAGAGCCTGAATGAGAGCCTGAAACCCTCTGCATGCGCAAAATTCTACTTTTCGTGTATCATGATGAGAAATAGGCTTCGACACTCGTGGGAAAAGTATTCTTTGACCCTTGGGAGGGCAGCACTCGCTTTCGGCGAGTATAGACACCTCTCTCGGGTCAAAAAACACTTTAAGACACTCGGATCGAAATATACTATTTTGACCAAGGGTCAAAGACCACTTTTCCCACGAGTATTAAACCCTATTTTTCATCACGATATGTGGAAAGTGGGATTTTGCGCATGCGGAGCGCGCGTAAAATTTTACTTTACGCACAAGTACTTGAATATCCTCAATAGGGAACTTGCATGAATTTTTTTCAATTGTCCAATCTCAAGTTTGAGACCTGAATACTCCACTTTTCATTCACAAACGTTTAAAACATTGCTCATTAATTAATAATTTCTTAATATTACTTGTTAAAAGTTGACGATTTCAAACGCTTGGAAATCGCTAATGACGTCACAAAGACGGTCAAGCGCCGGACCAATCGCAGACTGGCTTTAGCCGACCTAACCTAATCTTGAGGTGCGCCTCGGCCAATGGAGGACGACAACTCCCCACTCTCTTCTCTTTCGACCAATGAAGCGTCACCTGACCGTCTTCGCGACGCCATGACCGAACAATTGGCCTCGAAAACGACTGATTTTCAATTAATTATCACAAGACATCTAGACAATATTTCTCCACAATTTTCGCCGTTTAGTTATCTATATGTTACGAGAAATGTGTGAATAAGGGAATTAGAAAGAATTACCTTCATGTAAGTTCCCTATTGAAGATTTTGGAGGGAACGAGGCGATACGCACCGTCAGGCAGCGTCTGCTCGGCTCGGAATGCCTCGGGAGGTTTCGGAGAATGCGCAGACGGACTCCGCAGGCTGCGCGCGAGACGCCCGCCGTTCTGCGCGGGCGATTCAAATGATGAGACTTTGAAATTAATTAGAATGCCGTCAGTTCGTGGGAAACAATTATTCGAAGACTTGTTTCAATTTCTTTGACTGATTAATTGGTAATCAGAAGCACCGGAAGTTGTTACCGCAGCGCGGGAAATTGAAATAATCGTTTTTTTGACTGCAAACATGGCGGATGTTTGGAAAATGCGCGAGATGGGATTGATATTGATGATTGAGCGGGCACACCTGGGTCGGGTGTCATATAGCTGGCGGCACCTAACCTATCAGCTGTCACTGGCTCTTTGCGTGGACATCCGACTGTTCAATGACATCGCGACGTACTTTGACCGAAGGTTCATGATAATTCTGAAATACCTGCGGGGTGGACTGTGACGTGTAGTTGAGTGTATCAATTGATTTCCAGAATAATTCGATATGGGGAATAAATCGAGTCTGCTCCTGAGGGAGGAGGAAATAGCGCAGATACAGGAGGCGACTGGGTGTGAGTGTCAAATTGAAAATTATATTTTTGTTTTTGGAGAATTTAATGGGTGAGCAGCGGATGTTTGTGGTTTGGAAATTTTAAAATGCAGCTTTGTAATGAGGGAATCACATCAGTTTGCTCTACTCCACTCCGAAAATAGAATAGAAATTCACTGCAATAATTTCAGAATTTTGTTGATTAATTTTGGGGATTAATCAGTGCTGGAATAATGCAATGAGTGAAAGATTAGATTATTAAAATATTTTTATATTTGGTGGCGGATGGAATCAGCTCGATAACGTGGATTTACGATAGAATGTCAAAACAGCTTTTTGAGTTCAAGAAATTTCCTATAAAAGTCTCTTGAGATTCAACTAAAAATCGCTGGAATCATTCATGAGAGAATGAAAGGAATGAACTTAATGATTGAGTTGAATATGACATTTTTGGTAATTAGAAAATTGTTTCCTTAACTAATTTAAAGTGATAATAATTTTCACAAAAGGACCCCCAACATTTTAATTTAAACCCAGTAGAATGAAATTAATCAACTGTTCAAATAAAATATCTTCGCTAACTACAATAAGACAAGGGGGAAATAGCTATTGTATTGCGTATAGGAGAGGTTGGGGTAAAATGGACACTTTTGACTTTTTTAAAAATGTTGATGACGTGTTGAAATGTTGATGAAATTTAATCATTTTTTTTTTCAATACAAACAACAATTCTTTCCCTTTGTGATGAGCTTAAACTGATCTCAATTAATAAATTGTTTCTGAGTTATGAATAATTTTAAAAAAGTCTGAAGTGTCCGTTTTACCCCACCCTCCCCTACATTCGAGAAAAAGATTCAATTCCATCGATTCATTAGCGAATAGTTGAAGAAAAACTTGGTTACATACGAATACACATACGCACGCAAAAAATCCAGAACTTGAATTTGAAAGCTTCCACTGGGAAGCAAAAATGTAATTTCACTCGCGCGAATACTTGCAGTCACACCGAACCAGATAGAACGCCTCTACAGTCGCTTCACGAGTCTAGACCGCGGTGACTGTGGTACACTGTCGCGCGAAGATTTCCTGAGGATACCAGAATTAGCGATAAATCCACTCGGCGAGCGAATCGTCAACGCCTTCTTCGAAGAGAGCGGAAATGATCGAGTCAACTTTCTACAGTTTATGCAGGTGTTGGCGCTCTTCAGGCCCATCAAGAAGAACAGCACCAACAGACTGAACTCGAGACAGGAAAAATTACGATGTGAGTGGCACGGAGAAAGTCCACTGGCTTCCGTTCTACGGAAATTCACTCGTCAATTTACTTTTATTTATTACGGGTATTTACTTTCAGTTGCATTCAAGATGTACGATTTGGATAACGATGACATGATATCTAAGGACGAGTTGATGGCCATTTTACATATGATGGTTGGTGCTAACATCAGGTAATCAATTTTTTTCTGGATTTATATAATTATACTAGGGGGCTACGCCCCTCGTGACCCTTCATTTCTGACCCTCAATTTTAGTCTTAATTTCGAGTGCCAAATTTTCCTCACCAAAAGTCAATTTGTATTTTTATTATAATATAGAAAGATAATTATATAATTTCTATAATTAAGAAATTCTTTGTTTTGTTGTCCTTGTTTTTTGATTGAGGAATTGTCTCGAGAAGAGGGAATGCCAGAGGTTTTTTTCGATAATTCACTGATTAATAAAGTTGTCAATTTAACATTTATAAAAAATTTTGTCAACTACAAGAATTTTTCTCTGCAATCACTCATTATTAAGATAACTCCAGAATTAACTGATTTCGGAATTTAACTTCTGGAAGAAGTCATTGTATAATTATCTGGGTAATGAGTGATTTTATAAAAAATGCCTCGAGAGGTAAATCGACTTGTCTCATTCTTCTGATTTTGAAATTATCCCCATAATAAGTGACTTTAGGAAAAGATGTTAATGAAGTTCTTTGTAGGACATATTTTCAACTCCAAAAAGGTCTTGTCATTGAGATAATTCCACAATTAAAAAAGACGTCACAATCGCCTCATCACAATTAATTTGAATACAATTAATCAACTAATTGAATCATTTCTATTGATCAGTGAGGAGCAACTGTCGAGTATCGTAGAACGTACGATCCTAGAAGCTGACGAGAATGGAGACAACATGATATCATTCGATGAATTCTGCAAAGTCCTAGAGCGAACGGACGTCGAGCAGAAAATGTCCATACGATTTCTTAGCTAGATTGAATTACTCTAAACTAATGTAACTTAAATAATTGTGCATAGGATAAATTTTTGTAAATAGACCTTTAATTAATATTGTCCTCTCCAATAATTTCTAACTAATCCGACGCCATAATTGTAACTCAGCCCTCGGAAAAAAAATTGCATTGTTTTCTCCCCTTAAATTACTTACATAATTCTTACATTAATTTAATTTATTACAAACACAGCGATTGTGATTGAACAACTAATGAGTGAAAACATGTATTGAGAAATAAAAAAGATAACCAGTTTGAAAATTTATGATTTAATTACTCTCGCACTAGTGCTTGTGGTTACACCTTGGAAATGTGTCGTTAATCAGCAGACATTACGATAAAAAACGGAAATACGTGCCCATTCACTTATACACCAAATGCACAAGACAAATCAATTGCTTTACATATACATACTCGAATATATCATATAAAAGAAACAAAAAATCATGACAATTACCATTTACAATTATGTTATTAATTAATTCAGGGAATTATTAAATTTACTTTATTATTTTTTCCTATTCTATGGCTCAGGCTGTTGAGGACACAGCCAATTTCTTTAAATGTTCCATGAATACTTGGAGACTTACGTCGTCTGTCAGCACTGGAGCTCCACCCTCCTAAAAATTATAAAGATATTGATAAATAATGAGAAATTTGAGCAAATCAATCAACAGAATTGAGGGAGAATGAATCAAACAGATGTTAAATATGAAATTATCTCGAGAATGAGGCGTTCAACGAGAAAATGTAACGGAACATTTTTTGTAGAGAATTTAATTTCCTACAAAAAAGATCTTATGACATTTTCTCGGGAAAGTAACCGTTCTCGGGATAAATTCAGAATTAACAAAACGAAATCAGTAGCGAAGTGGTAAAGGGAGATAAGTCACTTTTGACTATTGACCAGTTCTCAATCAATATCTCGGAATCTAAGGGAGATAGCAAAATTTTTATTATAACCTTTTTTGTGGAGCCGACTGAGTGCTACAACAAATATAATTACGAAAATTTCGCTATCTCCCTTAGATTCGGAAATATTCATCAAAAACTCAACTGGGAGATAAGTCCACTTATCTCCGTTTACCACTTCACTACAGAAATTTTTTTCTGTTGAAAAAAATGATGAAATTATGTTTTTGTTATTTTAGAAAAATATTAAGGATTATTTTAAAAATCAGTGAGTGGATAAAAATATGTAAAAATGTTCGTGATGATTAGTAATGGTTAGTCAGTGATGAATCGTAGCAGAAGCGTTTTCATTGCCCCCAAGCCCCTCGAATGATTCTGATAAATAAGAAAATAAATAAGTAAAAAAAAAAAACAACTGAATAAAACACACCGCAGTGGGCATCGGCATCTGGTTCACAGGATCGTGATGAAAAAAAAAATTAATTGATTAAAAAAATGAAAAATAAAAAGGGTTATGAAAATTGCATTCACATTCGCATGTCAATGACGACGTGATGATTGAATGTTCATTCTCGATTGAAATGATGAAAGAGGAGTTCATCATCCTCATTATCATGAATTCAAGTCAATACTCGATAATTAAATTGTAAAAATGTGGCTGCATTCCATTGAATTCTGTTGCAAAGTGATTAAACGTGGGGAGTGAATTTTTCGTTTTTTGTGAACAGAGATCAGCAGCTGAATAATTTTTATTAATAAATAAAATGTAATAAATAATGTGATAAATTGAATAATCGAATTATCTCGATGGACTTGTCTCGATAAAATCATTGAATATGGAATTATCTCGATGGTGAGTGAGTTTACGAGGAAATGTCAGCAAACATTTTTTGTGGATAATTTTTGAGACTACAAAAAAGGCTTCTTGACATTTTCATTAAGAAAATGTCTTTTAAGATTTTTCTCCAATAAAAATGATTTAAATTTTTTTTTTAATTCTCTGTCCCATTCTAGTTTTACAAGACAATGTCGAAAGATATTTTTTGTAATTGCTTTTTAACATTTTTATTTCTACTTTACGTTTACGAAAAAATATTGAGACATTTTTTGTAATGATTTTTATGGGCAACAAAAATGGCTTCTTGACATTTTGTAGAAAAATATTTTGAGAAGTCTTTCAACTTTTCCATTCTCATTCTAGTTCCCCAAACAAAAATGTCATTTAGGATTTTTTTTTCTAGATAAATCATTTGAAAAATGTCTTGCAACAATCCCATTTTAATTTAAGCAAAAAATCTTGAGGCACTATTTGCAAAAAAATTGTGATTTACAAACAACGTTTTTTGCCAATTTCTAAAAAAATGCTTTTTAGAATTTTTTTATCTCGAAAAATTATTGGAAAAATGTTTTTCAACATTCTAATTTCCCTTCTAGTTTTCCAAAAAAATACAAAAATGGTTCCTTGACATTTTGCACAAAAATATTTTGAAAAAAATCTTTCAGCTTTTCCACTCCCACTCTAGTTCTAAAAAATGTCACTCAATTTTTTGCAGAGAATTCTGTGGACTACAAAAAAGACTTCTTGACATTTCCTCCAAAAATATCTTTTAAAAAATGTTTTTCTCGACAAATGATTTGAAAAATGTTTTTCAACTTTTCCATTCTCACTCTAGTTCTAAAAAATTCAAGAAAAGTTTCGTATAAATTTTTATGGACTACAAAAAATCCTGTACCATTTCCCCTAAACTCACTCCTCACCGAGACAAACCCCATTCACCAAAGAATCCTCCCCAACTAAAAATGTAAAAAAAAAAACAATAAATTAAAAAAAAAAACTTACCGCTCCATAAGCATACATATTGTTGTGCGTCTGACTAGGATTGACCTTGCTGAGCAAGAACCTAGCCTGGGACCCCCCTTGCTCCGTGTCAATATACCTGGGTGCTGGGAACCTCCCCCCAAGGATCTCCGCCGCATCGTCCACAGGAGCCGCCAGCAACTGCTTAAAATTCTCATACTCCGGTTGATCCTGGTACTTGAGCTGCCTCCACTGGGCAATAGTCTCCCCATGGAATATAAGAATTTGGAAGAACGTGTCCATGAGAAGGATCCTGTCAGGCTGAATGCTGGAGGTGTCCAGTAGAACAGGTTCTGGAGGTCCCCCAAACCCATAGCTGTACAGAATGGGCTGCACCATGATGAGGGAATTGGTGAGGTCCTCCCTCATGAGCATGTGCCTGTAGAAGCTAGTCTCGTCAGGAGAATTATTGAACACCTGGAGGAACTGCGATCTCCTGAGATGATACATGAACTGGGGATAGAGTGAAAAATTCTCAGCGAGTCTGAAACTGTTGGGATCGTCCTTCGAGTATTCCCCGAACTTCTGGCACAATCTTATCAACATTCTGTCGACCCAACGTAGCACATCGTTGCCATCGTCACCCTCAGCCCTGAAGACAGCTAGTCTGGACATCAAAACAGCCGCAGCCTCCTGATCAAAACCAGCTGAGATGTGGTGGAGGGAGGTGGAGGCGTCTGCCCAGTTCCTCGCCACCGTTGTCACTCGAATTCTCCTCTGTCCACTGCTGTGCTGATACTGCGTGATGAACTGAATGCAGCCTCTTCCTCCTTGGGGAATGGGTGCCGCGTGCTGATTAACTACTTCGAAGAATAAGGCTGTTGTGGTGGAGAGAGTTAACGAGCAGAACTTCCACTGGCAGGTGCCACCGAGGCCGACCTCTTGCTCACCGACGCTCGGACCTTTCACTCCGAGGGATACGCAGGGGCCGATGGCTCCAGATACCTTTGGTACAGGGAGAAGGGAATTCACATAATTTTGTTAATTTATTACGTCCAATTGAATTTAATATTCAATGCGATGTTAAAAACTCATAATATTCAATTTAATATTCAATTAATATTTGATTATTAATATTCATTATTGTTAATTAATAATAATTCGTGATTAATATTTAATTTAATATTCAATGCGATGTTGAAAACTCATAATATTCAGTTAATATTTGATTATTAGTATTCATTATTGTTAATTAATAATAATTCGTGATTAATATTTAATTTGAAATTCAATACTGTTGCCCACTACTCCAGTAATGGATGGGGGACGAGAGAGCAAAATGAACACTTTAGACTCTTTCTCTGTCAATGTTGAAATATTGTTCAATTGTTGAATAGAAATTTGATGAGAAAAAATGCAGAGAGAATGAGGATTTAGAGAGAAAGTTAATGACAATTTTCTTAAGAATATCTAAGTACTTTGGCTATTTTTTGTCGCTATACTTTTATACTTTTGTAGTCGAAAATCAGAGGTTTTATTTGATTTATAATAATGTTATTATTTAAACTTTGCAGGTCTGAATTTGAATCTCGATATTGATCCGTTAGAACATTTTTTTTAATCTAAAAAAACAATTAGAACGTTTACTTTCGAAGGAAAATTGATGAAGTAATTTAAAAATTGCAATTTTTGAAAATTACGAGCATTTTCTGTAAATAATTTTTAAACAATCATATTTAGAGTTTTATAGAAATTGATTTTATGCCTAAAAAAATTAGGTTTCCGAAAGTTTAAACAGTTTCAATTATTTATTTATGAGTGAAGAATATTGAAAAAATCATAATTCAGTGTAAAACGTAATTTGAATGTGGTCGACTACTCGTAATTTTTTTGAGTTCTCTCACGCAATTGAATTGTCAAAATTGATGATTAAAAATAATTGAATGGATATCCTTGTATCATGAAATTCTCTACAGAAAATATAATTTTACATTTTCCTCAACTCACTAATTCTCAAAATATTTACGATCTTTAACAATCATTGGTTCATTCTAAATTGTTAAAAAGGTCTGATTGAAATTTCTGGGGCATTTTTTGAAATTTTTATCACGTAACAGTTCTATTGAAATTCTCAAGGAATTTTACAATTGAAAAATCATAATTTGATAAAAAATCGATAGAAATTAGAAATTTCAGTGCAATTATTCCATGAGAACTAATGAAAATCATAAAAATTCAAAGTATACTATATATTTGTGTACTTCAATTAATTGAAAATTAACAGTAATTGGGTACTGAATATTGATTGGAAATTCAAACAAGTGGGATAATTCTTAGAATTCAAAATTTCAATTTTTGCCAAAAAAATATATTTCTTTAAATTTTCCTGATACCTATTAGTTTATACGTGATAATTGAATTAAAACATAAACTCCCCATTGATTCTTTCAATTGAAAAATTGACCATTTTCAAAAGAATTGATGTTTCTCGATTGAATATTAAACTTGCAATCAACTCCAAAAAAAACTCTTGAAATAGTTTCGAAAAAATTGAAATTCATCGTCCTCTACTGAATAAATCAGTCATCCCACCAATTACGTCATCGGCCATAGCGAATATTCTCTCCTCTCACCTTGAGTTCCCTAGACGTCTTGACCTCCAGAGTAGCATTGAAAGCCATCTTCAGATCCCCCTTGGCGTCCTTCGCGAAAACCCTCTGGAAAGTCTGCTTGAACAAGGACGAATTGAACGAATCCCCCATGACCATGTGTCCCCCAGTGGAATTGCAGCACATCCTCATCTCCAGGAGTCCCGTCTGATCGAGTGCACACGAGTAAATATCGATTATGTGGCCATTGGCAGCAGCCCTGACAGCCAGACTGTCGTAGTGCTTGGTGGCCTTCTTCATGTGTTTGGCATTATCCTTGTGAATGTCGTGATGAGACCTGATGGGCTGTCGAAGCTCATCGGTGACGACCTGTCCAGGCCCCTGGGAGCATGGCCCACCCACGAACAGCATGATCCTGGCTCCAGTATTGGCGTAACTGGCTTCCAGGAGGCCAGTGGCCACAGCCAGAGCCACTCCGGTGGATCTCAGGGGTCTTTTGCCCACTCCCACAGGCCAGGGGTCCCTCTGGAGCTCCCCCAGGAGGTCAGTCAGGCTCATGTCGCATTTGTGGACTGGCTGGAGGAATCTGTTGGCTGGAGGCAGAGGCTGAACGTTGGGATTCCTCTGTTGATTCATGTTCTGACCTGGGACTGGTCTCCCTATTCCCAGCATGTCCTGCACCTGTTTTGGTTGGAGATCCTTCGTCCCTCGGAATACGTAACTCTTGCTGCACCCCTCACAACCCAATTCGTGCACCTGGTGGAGGGAGAGACAGAAAAATTCTGGGTTTCATTGAATATTCGTTTTTTATTCTAAAATTAATTTATGAAGGAAGAGAAAGAGACTGTTTAAGAGAAAAAAAATGGTAGTGAGTGAAAAATCTGGGCTTTTATTACGAATTGAGTGGAAGTTTAAAATGATGGAATGATTATTCAAGTGGATTAAATTATTGAAAGGTTTTTAGGAATCGTTAATTAATTTCCTTCATTAATTGATATGAATTACATTGATATCAACCAATAATGCAACCATTATGACTCATCAGTTCCTCATCAATTGACATAACTTGCATCAATATTAACGAATAATGCAATAAGGAACCCCTCCAACTACTGTTAAAAATTTACTCAATTGTTCCCCAGCGATAAAAATAATGAAATAATAAAATAATAACATAATGACATAATAAAATAATGAAATAATGAAATAATAAAATAATAACATAATAATAAAATAACAATATGATAATAAATTAAAGGGAAAGACACTTTTTTAAGAGAAAAAAAAGGTTCCTGAATGAAAAACCCGGGCTTTTATTACGAATTGATTGGAAGTGTAAAATTATCGAATGATTATTCAAGTGTATTAAATTATTAAAAGGTTTTCAAGAATCGTTAATTACTTTTCTTCATTAATTGACATGAATTACATTGATATCAATCAATAATGCAACGATTACGACTCATCGCTCCCTCATCAATTAAAAAAATGCTTAATGATTGTTGAAGTAATTTAAAAAATCCAAACATCATTTACTTCATCATATCCATTATCAATTGACATAACTTGCATCAATATTAAGGAATAATGCAATAAGAACCCCTCCCACTACTGTTAAAAATTTACTCAATTGTTCCCCAGCGATAAAAATAATAACATAATGAAATAATAAAATAATAAAATAATAAAGGAGAAGATACTTTTTTAAGAGAAGAAAAATGTTCCTGAATGAAAAATCTGGGCTTTTATTACGAATTGAGTGGAAGTTTAAAATGATGGAATGATTATTCAAGTGGATTAAATTATTGAAAGGTTTTTAGGAATCGTTAATTAATTTCCTTCATTAATTGATATGAATTACATTGATATCAACCAATAATGCAACCATTATGACTCATCAGTTCCTCATCAATTGACATAACTTGCATCAATATTAACGAATAATGCAATAAGGAACCCCTCCAACTACTGTTAAAAATTTACTCAATTGTTCCCCAGCGATAAAAATAATGAAATAATAAAATAATAACATAATGACATAATAAAATAATGAAATAATGAAATAATAAAATAATAACATAATAATAAAATAACAATATGATAATAAATTAAAGGGAAAGACACTTTTTTAAGAGAAAAAAAAGGTTCCTGAATGAAAAACCCGGGCTTTTATTACGAATTGATTGGAAGTGTAAAATTATCGAATGATTATTCAAGTGTATTAAATTATTGAAAGGTTTTCAAGAATCGTTAATTACTTTTCTTCATTAATTGACATGAATTACATTGATATCAATCAATAATGCAACGATTACGACTCATCGCTCCCTCATCAATTAAAAAAATGCTTAATGATTGTTGAAGTAATTTAAAAAATCCAAACATCATTTACTTCATCATATCCATTATCAATTGACATAACTTGCATCAATATTAAGGAATAATGCAATAAGAACCCCTCCCACTACTGTTAAAAATTTACTCAATTGTTCCCCAGCGATAAAAATAATAACATAATGAAATAATAAAATAATAAAATAATAAAGGAGAAGATACTTTTTTAAGAGAAGAAAAATGTTCCTGAATGAAAAATCTGGGCTTTTATTACGAATTGAGTGGAAGTTTAAAATTATCGAATGATCATTCAAGTGTATTAAATTATTGAAAGGTTTTCGAGAATCGTTAATTACTTTTCTTCATTAATTGACATGAATTACATTGATATCAATCAATAATGCAACGATTACGACTCATCGCTCCCTCATCAATTAAAAAAATGCTTAATGATTGTTGAAGTAATTTAAAAAATCCAAACATCATTTACTTCATCATATCCATTATCAATTGACATAACTTGCATCAATATTAACAAATAATGCAATAAGAACCCCTCCCTACTGCCACTGCTGTCAAAAATTTACTTAATTCTTTCCCATCGATAAAAATAATAAAATAATAAAATATAAAAGAGTAAATGTTAATTTCTCACCTGCACCATCTTTCCAAAAGTAATCAATCCAATCAAAGCACTTGGTGGAAGTAGTGACAACGACATTTGGAGAGAGTCCTTGAGGGCCCCCAGCTCCTCCTCATCCAGACAAGTGTCCACCACCAGCAAAAAAATTGGAGGAAGACACTGGGCCCTGGTGATGATGTACTCGATCGTCGAGAACATGGGGATGAGCTCAGCTGGCTGGTGCTGCTCGCTGATGGCTGCGTACTGCGGTGGGAAGGGATTCCGTTGGAAGCAGAAGTTGCAGACCCAGAGTTTCGCCCTGTAGTCCACCTGGCAGAGAGGATTGAGGATCGCTCTGCAGGTGGACCTGGTGCAGAGGACTGGGTCGTACTGGATCGGGGGGAGGTCCAGGCGTTCCTTTATCGGTTGGTAGAGGGTCCCCAGGGGGACGACGAGGCGAGTGGCTTCCACTCGAGACGATGGCCACACGTTCCAGGTGAACCTGACACCGTCACGATCCTCATTTTGCTGGATGAAGTCCTCGTAGGTCGTCATCCTGAGAAGGTAATGGAGATTTTCATTAATTTTTCACTGATTTTTTTTATTAACAGGGATTCATTGGTTAGCGTGTTATATTTATGATAATATTATCGTTCATTGTAAAAATATGGAATTAATTGATTGATTAATTAATTGATTTTTTAATTGGCTAAAGTAATCTATTCAGTCACGTGTGTACTCTTTCGGGTTTTACATTCTGTTTCCCACCCCATATAAAAATATATAATACAATATCAAAGCATGAGAAAAAATACAATACAATAGATTAAGAAAATTGGCTAAAGTATTTTTATGGTATTTTTATCACATTTCCATTGGTTTTTTGATTGAAGAGAGTTAAATAGGGATGTTATATTAATTATCGTGTTATCAGACGTTATAACCATCATATTATGAATTGATTAATTAATTAATTGATTTTTTTACTGGATAAAGTCTTCGTAGAACGCCATCCTGAGAAGGTAATGGAGATTTTTATAAATTGTTAATCGGTTTTTTAATTGAAAAATATTTAATTATGATATTATATTCATGATAATTCTACCATGCATCCAAAATATTTCATTATTAATTGATTAATGAATTTTTTTTTATGTAATAAAGTCTTCGTGGGTTGTTATCCTCAGAAGAAAACCGAAGTTGTGATGTTTTTCACATTGAGGAAAAGTGAATAGGGTTATCATATTGCTGTTAACGTTATTATGCATTACAAATAGTGCATCATCCATTAATTAATTAATTATTTGATTTTTTAATCGGATAAAGTATTTTTATGAAATTATTATGACATTTCCATTGTTTTTTTAATTAAAGAAAATTAAATGGGGTGTTGTATCAATGATAATATCATCAGACGTTGTAAATATTATATTATTAATGAATTAATTAATTCATTATTTTTTTACTGAATAAAGTAATTGTTAAACGCCATCCTGAGAAGTTAACGAAGATTTTCATGAATTTTTCATGGGTTTCAAAATTTAAAAAAAATCAATGGGGATATATTTATAATAATTTCAATATGAATTATAAATTTCTTATCACTAAGTGACTGGTTGATTAATTTATTGATTTTTTTTTACTGGAAAAAGCTTTGCAGGTCGTCATCCAGACAAGAAACGAACTTTTTACGATTTTTTTTTTCAGAGTTTTTTACATCAAAGAGAATTAAACGTGGATATCGTATTTATGATAATATTATTATGCATTAGGAATATCGTATTATTGATTGATTAGTTGATTTTTTGATCTATTTTAATTGGAATTTTTGGAGCAGAATTGTTTCATTTTGTTAAGGATTTGCAGGTTAAAATAGTAAACTCACCTTTATCCGTGATTTTATGCACTGATCAGAGGTAATCGAAGACCAACTGTACACTAGACACTTTTGGAATTGATCGGTGGGGATTAAATCATTTTTTTGAGGATTTCATGAGGTTTTTGGAGTCGAGTGATGAGTGATTTCTGTGCAGCCGTCATCCGGGCCACGTCAGAGGGGATCAATTGAACAATTCCTCCTTATCGGCGAAAGTTTTCTATCTCTACACCTGAGAGATGGCGCTGATGTATTCTCAAGTGACCCTCAGGCTCTAAAAACCCTGAGGCAGCCCCCTGACCCTGAGGGGAGAAATATTTTCCTGAAAGTTTAAGAGGAAAAGAATTTTCAGGGGGTGGCGACTAAAATGGTCCCCATAAACGCACGGAAATTAATCCAACGAAAATAATTCATTAACCCAAGACAAAGCGAACGAAAAAACGAATGGTTTATTTAAATCCGGGGGATTTGAACTAACGATTAATCGAAAACATCGATTTTTCATACCTATGAAATAATGTTTTTATATAATTTCATACCATAGAATAATAATGTTGATTGATTGAGAATAAACAAAATATATATTTTTCAATAAAAACGAGAAAAAAAATTATTTTTAACAATTGTTTCTCCTCTGTAATGAGAAAAACATCAATTTTTTAAATAATCGATGTTTTTTCCTGAAAAATCGATTCATAACATCGATGTTTCTGGAAAACATCAATTGTTCGATAATCGATGTTTTTTATAACATCGCCCCTAGTTTGGGCATAAAAAATCAACGTTTGCGATTAATCGACAAATATCGACTTTTCATGCCCAAACATCGATGTTTTTCATCGATGTGTTCAACGGTCGATTAATCGATTTTCGTTTCTTTTTTCCAAACGTCGGTATTTGAACAAGCTAATAAAATTTTTTATTCTTCCATCGAACAATAAGGTTGATCAATTGAAAATTGAAAAAATAATAATTTATCCGCAATCAAAAGTGATTATTCTCTGGAGTATGTAATATGATTGTTTATATTCGAATCTTAGCGGGAAAGAGGGAAATTATTCGATTTCAGAATTGGAAATTCTCAAATCTCTCAATTATTCTAAAATTAATTCTGGCTAAGATCAATACATAATCAACAATTATCGAAGTTCTGCTAGAATTTATCTTGAATATCGATTTTCATGCGTAAAATGAGGGGAATTTCGTACTTATGGTTATCCTTCACTCATTCACACATTTTTCACTCCCCATCACACTACTGTAGACTGGATTCACTGTAGACTTGACCAGTCAGCGATCACCATTGCAGCCGGTAGGATCGCCTCATCCTGTCCTTCCTCTCACTTTTTTATCCACCTGTTGCTCAGTCCCCCATTAGAGATAAATACAAATAAATTGGGGGAGAAATCTTATCAATAAATCGAGGCCCAACAAGACATAACAGAAAAAGGTAAATTAAAAGATATTTTTATCCAATAATTTTACACTACATGCCCGTTTACTTCCCTTTCTATTTTGTATTGTCGATTTTTAATTTACGAAAGATGATTTTGGTTATTCATAGTGCGATAGAATCAATTAGAATTTATAATGCGTTATGAGTCTCTTACTACGAACTGGAGGACGAGCGTAATAATTAATACTGAATTGAATGAACGGGTGAAGAATCGGTAGCCGAGACAGAGTCGTGAGCCTCTGGGAATTTCATAATACCGTTAGGGCCAGTCGTCGCCTCTCCTTTGGGTTTACGTCGTTACCCTCTTATTATCATCGAAAATAAGCGGCTTTTTAATGTAGTTGTGGATAAATTCTGTAGCGAAGCGGTAAATTGTAATGAAATAAAAATTTCAACATTTCTGCCACTTGCGATTTGGAAGAAATTCTTTTATTACTCTATATGAACATTGAATAAAAGTATTAGAATATTAGACAACAGGAGGGAAATGATGAGGAATATGGAAATTTAATAAATTGCTCTGATGAGGAGTGGATGTGCCACTTGAAACGTTGGCAAATTAGTGGAAGTTTATAGTCTATAGAAAAGGTCAATAGAACTCGATTTTTCTTCACAACTTATTCTATTGAGGTATTTTATGTTGTGGAGAAGATTTTGACCGAATTTTTTAAATTGTTTCGTAGTTATTTTACATAAAATTTCCTCAAATTATCTAAATTTAATTAATTCTACTTTTCTTTGCTCTTCAACAAGAAAATCAAACAAAAAAACTTGGAAAAGTTGAGCCGATGAAATTCTGTAGAAAATAACAAAAGAAACAAAAGAAATTGTATCGAAAAATCAAATTCTTTTGACTTTTTGTCGCTAAGTAGTTCTTGAAATTTTTTCATACGTGATAGGTAATCAAAATCGCCTGCATTGTGATGTTATAATGCTTGAAATTAAAGAAAAACCGCTAGGTCCAGTCGTTGCGTCTTCTCTTTGGAAAGACATTCTTATGATTCTCAAAATCGAACGGTTTTTAAATGTAGTTCTGAGCGCATTCCGTATAACAAAGTGGTAATTTGGGATGAGTGGATTTCAACATTCCTGGGAGCACGTCTAAATATTTTCCGTCAAAAAAACTTCGTCATAAAAACTCGGTTTTTTGAACTTTTGCGATTACAACGTTTGTCATAAAAAACTCTTTCAAAAACAACTTCTGTACAAATAACTTTGTTAAAAACCCGAATATTTTTTTGTATTTTTCCGTTTTTATTTCTATTCGGAGAGATTGGGCTGTACATGAAATATTTGAAAGGAGTTGCTCTGAATATCACCCTTTAATTGCATAATTTTTTTTTGTCTACCACTCATTTATTTTGTTAATAATGTTTCGTTCAATTTCATTGATAGTCGTTGGTTTTTTTCTTTCATCATTGATTATTTTTCAGGTGGTTTTTTGAGTTGTTTTTTTCATGGAATTTTTTATGAGAGAAGTTGTTTTTGGGTTGGGTTTATTTAACGAAGGTTTTTTGTAATCAAGTTTTTTTGACGGAAAATATTTAGACATGGACCCAACATTCCTGTTAATCATCGGTTTATCTCCGAGTCGAAGAATTATACAGAGAGATGTGAGGATATAGTTTTTTGGAGAGATTGTTCCGGGAAAATGTTGAGTATCACGTGACGGTGAATGCGGCAATTCTATTGGTCATAATTGTGATTGGAAAAATAATCGAGGTGATTCCCGAATGGTCCAATCTAACGAGATCAGTCTTCTTACTTTCACATTTTCGTTGATTAAGCAATTATCTCGGAAATGTATGGTTATACAAAAAAATATAATGTTTTTTTAGTTGAAAATCCAGCTCCCAACACTCTATACCGTATTTTTCAACTCATATTTTAACCCTATTTTTCTCGTCTTTATCGTTTGATCGTCGTTCTGATCCGTATTTTTTTACCCTCGGATTTTAGTTTCCAATCTCACTTTACCGTACTGATTTCATATCGCCAAGATTTGAATTGTATAATAAAAAAGATATTTCAATCCTCATTCATTACCTCAATAAAATTCTCTCTCAAAATTTATGAACCCCAGTTATGAAAAAAAATATAATAATTTTTCTGACTGAAAATCGAACTCCCAACACTCTTTACCCTTATTTTTTACCTTTAGATCTCATTTTCCAATCTCAATTTGCCGTTTTGATTCCTTTTCGCCAGGAGTCGATTTGAATTTGTATAATATAAGAGGAATTGTTCAAACTTCCTTCATTAACTCACTAGAATCTTCTCCTGAAATTTATGAACCCCAGTTGTAACAAGAATATCATTTTTCTACGAAAAATCCAATTTGCAAGCCTCTTTACATTTGTTTGCCCTTAGAATTTCAGTTTCCAATCTCTATTTCCCATTTTGATTCCACATCGCCAGGACTGGATTTGAATTTGCATAATACATGAGAAATTTTTCAATCCTCACTCATTATCTCACCAAAATTCTCTCAAAATTTACGAACGCCTCTTATAAAAAAAATATAATAATTTTTCTGACTGAAAATCGAACTCCCAACACTCTTTACCCTTATTTTTTACCTTTAGATCTCATTTTCCAATCTCAATTTGCCGTTTTGATTCCTTTTCGCCAGGAGTCGATTTGAATTTGTATAATATAAGAGGAATTGTTCAAACTTCCGTCATTAACTCACTAGAATCTTCTCCTGAAATTTATGAGCCCCAGTTGTAACAAGAATATCATTTTTCTACGAAAAATCCAATTTGCAAGCCTCTTTACATTTGTTTGCCCTTAGAATTTCAGTTTCCAATCTCTATTTCCCATTTTGATTCCATATCGCCAGGACTGGATTTGAATTTGCATAATACATGAGAAATTTTTCAATCCTCACTCATTATCTCACCAAAATTCTCTCAAAATTTACGAACGCCTCTTATAAAAAAAATATAATAATTTTTCTGACTGAAAATCGAACTCCCAACACTCTTTACCCTTATTTTTTACCTTTAGATCTCATTTTCCAATCTCAATTTGCCGTTTTGATTCCTTTTCGCCAGGAGTCGATTTGAATTTGTATAATATAAGAGGAATTGTTCAAACTTCCGTCATTAACTCACTAGAATCTTCTCCTGAAATTTATGAGCCCCAGTTGTAACAAGAATATCATTTTTCTACGAAAAATCCAATTTGCAAGCCTCTTTACATTTGTTTGCCCTTAGAATTTCAGTTTCCAATCTCTATTTCCCATTTTGATTCCACATCGCCAGGACTGGATTTGAATTTGCATAATACATGAGAAATTTTTCAATCCTCACTCATTATCTCACCAAAATTCTCTCAAAATTTACGAACGCCTCTTATAAAAAAAATATAATAATTTTTCTGACTGAAAATCGAACTCCCAACACTCTTTACCCTTATTTTTTACCTTTAGATCTCATTTTCCAATCTCAATTTGCCGTTTTGATTCCTTTTCGCCAGGAGTCGATTTGAATTTGTATAATATAAGAGGAATTGTTCAAACTTCCTTCATTAACTCACTAGAATCTTCTCCTGAAATTTATGAACCCCAGTTGTAACAAGAATATCATTTTTCTACGAAAAATCCAATTTGCAAGCCTCTTTACATTTGTTTGCCCTTAGAATTTCAGTTTCCAATCTCTATTTCTCATTTTGATTCCACATCGCCAGGACTGGATTTGAATTTGCATAATACATGAGAAATTTTTCAATCCTCACTCATTATCTCACCAAAATTCTCTCAAAATTTACGAACGCCTCTTATAAAAAAAATATAATAATTTTTCTGACTGAAAATCGAACTCCCAACACTCTTTACCCTTATTTTTTACCTTTAGATCTCATTTTCCAATCTCAATTTGCCGTTTTGATTCCTTTTCGCCAGGAGTCGATTTGAATTTGTATAATATAAGAGGAATTGTTCAAACTTCCGTCATTAACTCACTAGAATCCTCTCCTGAAATTTACGAAACCAGTTGTAACAAGAATATCATTTTTCTACGAAAAATCCAATTTGCAAGCCTCTTTACATTTGTTTGCCCTTAGAATTTCAGTTTCCACTCTCTATTTCCCATTTTGATTCCATATCGCCAGGACTGGATGTGAATTTGTATAATAAAAAAGACATTTCTCAATCCTCACTCATTATCTCACCAAAATTCTCTCAAAATTTACGAACCCAGCCCCCACACCCCCGAACTACCAAAATTTGAATAATCTCCTCCTCCTCTTACGGCTATCCTCTCTCGCAGCGTATTTCGCAACAATCCTCGACCCTGAGACGCTCCCCCGATTGTGCAACACCAAGAATCTCCGCAAATAGCCTCCTCTCTAAACCCACCTCGCACCTATTTCCAGGAATCCGCAGCAGTCCCGAGCCTTTCAACACCTCAGCAATGTCCCAACCCTGGAAAACGGTGTTCGTGACGGGTGGAGCAGGTTACATCGCCTCCCACTGCATCGTCGAGCTCCTCTCCTCCGGCTACGAGGTCATCGCCATCGACAACTTCTCCAACAGCGTCTCCTCCTCGGGAACATCCGCGGCCCTCACGCGGGTCGAGCAAATAACCGGAAAAACGATTCAGTTCTACAACTGCGACCTGACGAATCGCGAGCACCTGAACGAAGTCTTCAAGAGCCACAAGATCGACTGCGTCATCCACTTCGCGGCGATAAAGGCAGTCGGGGAGTCCATGCAGGTGCCCCTCCACTACTACAGGAACAACGTCATAGGGGCGATAAACCTCCTGGAGGTGATGAAGGCCTCGGGCTGTTTTCAGCTCGTCTTCTCGAGCTCCTGCACGGTTTATGGAGAACCTGACAACCTCCCGATCACCGAGGACCACCCCGTGGGGAACATAACAAACGTCTACGGGAGGACGAAGTACTTCATCGAGGAGATGCTCAAGGACATCTCCAAGGCGGAGAAGACCTGGAACATCATCTGCCTGAGGTACTTCAACCCAGTGGGGGCTCATCCCAGTGGACTAATCGGAGAGGACCCGACGAAACCCTTCACCAACCTCATGCCATTCATCGCGCAAGTCGCCTTGAGACACAAAAACGAGTTGACCATCTTCGGGGGAGACTACCCAACGCCCGATGGCACTGGTATTCGAGATTACATTCATGTGGTGGATCTGGCCGGGGGACATGTGGCGGCACTGGCAGCTCTGCAGAAGAGCCACGAAAGGCTGAGGGTTTATAATTTGGGGACTGGGAAGGGGGTCTCCGTGCTGGAGCTGATCAAGACCTTCGAGAGGGTCACGGGGACGAGTGTTCCTTATGTCATCCAGGAGAGGAGGGAAGGGGACATTGTCAGCATGTGGGCAAACGCGGATCTGGCGAGGGAGGAGCTCGGGTGGACGAGCAAGCTCACGGTCGAGGACATGTGCAGGGACTTCTGGAAGTGGCAGACTATGAATCCTTATGGGTATAGGGGGGCTGTCAATGGAAGGGCTAAGCATGATGAGCTGAGTCAGGATGATTGAAGGGGGTTTAAGGTGATGGGGAGGGAGGGGATTAAATTAAGTTTGTAATAGTTGATTAATGACAGTAATTTAAAAATTTAGTGGAGTGGGAAAGCGAGAGAAGTTGAATTCAACTCGTGGTCAGTTTTTAGAAAATATTTCGGTTTTGTTAAGCTCCTGAACAGTCTGGAGAATTGACCTCTCAGTCACGGGTGATCCCCGTGGGGAACATAACAAACGTCTACGGGAAGTCGAAGTACTTCATCGAGGAGATGCTCAAGGACATCTCCAAGGCGGAGAAGACCTGGAACTTCATCCGTCTGAGATACTTCAACCCAGTCGAGTTGTTGCCGACACTTGGTTATTTGTTTATTTCGTTATCTCCCTTAAGTAAGAAAATATCATGTGAAAGCCCTGAATTTGAAAAAATGAAGAATAGAAGAAGTAATTTCTTTCCATGAGTTTTTGAAAAGTATTTTTAATATTGAATAGAGAGATATTCTATAAAAATCTTGAGCATTAAAAAACGATTGAGTCAAATGATCAAATGATGATTCGTACCGATTGATGATGATGGTTTTTGCTTGTTTGAATGAATATCATCAGAATATTTAAAATGTAGGCAACATTTAGACTAAGTAAAGTCCGTCCAAATGATTCTGTTTATGAAAATTAAGTTTATTACCTTAGAATAAATTATAAAAATGGGCCAGTAATGTGAGATTATTCGATTGTTACGATCTTGACTAGAATTCGTAATAAATCTTTCTGTTCTGTATCCAAGAACTTCCATAAATCATTCTCGAGGGCGAGGAGAGAGTAGTTGTCCTTAGATTGGCAGGCGAGAACTAGGGACTGGAGTAGGATGAATTCATCTTCACTCATGTGTGTATCTAAAAAACAATAAATTTAATTGATTGATTCATTGATTAATCGATCAATTGATTAATTAATTAATAAATAAATTTATTAACCAATTAATTGACAAAGGGAAAATTGTGGTGAAGTGGTGAAACGTAATGTAAAGTCAAAATTAAAATTATTTGTAATCAGACATTAATTACAAAAAAAATGTCTTCGCCATTGAAACTCGTAGAATCACTGATCATCGAGATAATTAAATATTTAGATTAATTCTACGTAAACGAATTCAGTATTTTGATTTGGAAAATCAACTTGTCCTGCTACGTTTCACAAATCTCCTACAGATTTTATTCACAAAGAGTCTTTACTTGCACTCCAATTATCCTCAATCGACGTGAATCTCTCCAACACCTCAGAGAGCCCCGGAGATAATCTCTGAACAGTCAACTGTTGGATCAAAATTAACAGCAGTCGATTGATCTCAATTTTACGTATGAAAATTCTGTAATGAGCGGAGTGATTCGAGGCCACTGAGGACTCCAGGAGGTCCATGAATTCGCTGCTCAGATTCAACGCCGAAGAATAATCCCCTAAAAATATAAAAGAATAAATAAATTGCATTTTCGATGAATTTTTTTTTTGTTTTAAATGAGGGGGGAGCGACCCTTTAGAATTGAGGATCAAACTCTCTTGATGGGCAAACCACTTATGAACAGGGATGGCCATCAATATTAATTTTTTCAATGTTGAAAGGATTTTCTGGCTTACATAAATCAAAGTTTAAATATACTAATAGAAATTTAAAATTAGGAAAATAATTAATAACGTAAATTTCCAATTGATGATGAATTAAATATTTAAAAGTATGGAAACATAAATTTTCTATTAAGGCCCGGGTGCATCATGTAGAAATTCCCAAAAATTATGACAGAATGGTAAAAAAAATAGAAAAAATTCGGAACTTTTTTCAAAGAGCCTTTTCCGAAATAAATGTCTCTGTGCAGTGTGGGAAAAGATTTGCGAAATCAGTCTTCCCCCTGCATGATATTGGGTGACAGGCCGCCATTTGTCCCCGTAAATCAGATACATTTTTCAATTTCTTGTTATTCACCTTATTCTGAATATAAATTAAAAATGCTCTTTGAAAAAATTAAGAATTTTTTCTACTTTTTTTTGATTATTCATTCATAATTTCTCAAAACTTCTGCATGATGCAGGACTTAATTGCCAATTTCAGATGACGAAAGATGAAAAAAAAAGCGAGATAACGTTCGAAAGATAGTGCACCCGGGCCTTAATGAATTTCTTTTCCCCTCAAAATGGCTGAGCTACCTTGTTTAATGTAATAAGACATCAGCAAATCAAATGCTTGAGCAGTTGGAAATATCCCAATGGATTTCTTCACGAGTTGTCCAGCCGCTGGAGTTGGCCCGAGGGCCATTGCCAGCTCCAGCATCGAGCCAGCAGCAGTGGAATTGAACTCAGGAGCATTCTGACACGCTTGAAGTGCCTCACTGAAGCAACTGGTGGCCGCCTGAAAGTTCTCCTGACCCAACGAGGGACATCCAATGCTCCAGTTCTGCTTGTCAGCCGCTAGAAAATGCCTTCCTGCTCTCAATAAATTATTTATCTCTGATTCTGTGTCTCCAAGGGTGTGGTAGCAACGTCCCACTGATGTCAAGCAGAGGCCTGCGTACTGCCAAGCCTCTTCCTGCTCACAATGAAGTGCTAATGAGTCTGGGGGTAAAAAATTAGTAATGAGTTTACTGGATGCGGTGATTATAGAATGATCGGATGTCATTTCTTGGTAATTAAGACTCTTGAGGACTTACTGAATTGCTCACTGGCTTCTGTTATGTTTGGATTCCTCAGAAATCTCCTGAAGATGTAGATTATCAGAAGAGATTGGTGGAATCAATTGAGTAATGTTCATTTGATGGATTTAATGACAGACATTCAGTGAAATTATGCAATGGGAAAAGTCAGTGGAGAAGTGATAAACGGTTTATGTCAAGTTAGAAATCTACTGAGTTTTTGAACAGATATTTGTTTATTTATTCTGTTGGGATTTTTTCTGCAAGAATTCTTGGGCGTGAATTTTCCAATTTTTTTTCCCAGATTTTGTTTTGAGAAACAAATTAAAATACTGCGGAAAAAACTTATAAAAATAGAAAATTTACAGCCGAGAATTTTCTATAGAAAAATCAAAATCATTGACTTTTTTCTATCAAATATCTCTTGACCAAATGAGGGGGTAAAGTTGCATGAATTTTTATAGAAATGACGTAAAAAATAGAATTTTCAATATAATTCTAATAAAACTTCAAGAGAATTCTTATAGAATTCCAATGAAAATTCAGTAGAACTTGTTAGAAGAAGATCTAGATTTTTCTATTGAAGCAGTATGAATAAACTCCAGTTGAGTCGTTGAGTGTAACGAGGAAAAATCAATTCAAAACGCCAAAAAAAAATCATTCATCATTGATTATTTTTTTCCATGAATTATAACTTTAACGAGTGGAAAAAATTGATTCATGAAATTCTCCTTCAATTATTTTATTAAACAATAGTCTCCCGTTGCACGAATCCGTTTCGATAGTGCACGTCACTCCGAGCACGCAGAAACATAAATTATTTATTAAAAACGTTTAACACTGACGATGATTTTTATATTGAGCATAGAATTTTGATTTATTTTTTAATGATTTTTTTACATTTTTTCTAGATTTTAATCTTCTCCCCAAAATCGAAAATTTCATTTTCTCGTAAGACTGTTATTTTTGCGTTTCTAAAGTAATTATTATTAATAATACTAAACTGTCGATTGAGGACAATCTCAACCAGAATGTGTATTTTCATATTAATTCTCGTTTAGAATTTATTTCAGATTTTCACGTATGAAAAAATTTCATAGAAAAATCTGACGAATTCGCTAGACAATTCTAATGGATTTCTATTGAACTTTCTATTAGTTTATGGCCGGTTTCTATTGAAATGTTCAATAGAATCTGATTTTTACACAACTTTTTATACAACTTATCTATTGAGATATTTTCTATAGAATTTCCTCGACTGAAATTTTCAAAGTTTTTTTTGTTTGATGAAAAGTTTGAAAGATTTCGTTTCTTGACGAAAAGAAAAGAAAAATAGAATGAAAAAAAAATTAGAGAATTTGAGCCGAAAAAATTCTATAAAAAATATAGAATTCGATTGAATTTTTTTCGTGCATGTTAATCTTCAAAATTCAAGTTATCTTTATTACTTTAAATTATACAATTCGTGAACTTGAATATGCACGACTTAACGAGTCAACTAATTAATTAATGAATAAAACTCACTTTTTTAACTTGTTGTTGATGCTGTGATACTTAATCAGAAAGTGATTATTCTGCCTCAGATCCGTGTTATCCAGCAAATTATCCATTATTTATGATTTTTTCACACTTCACAGGGCTAACCTCATTGTTGCTCCAACAAGTTACTCCAGAGCCATGGTTCGACCTCAATTTAATTCATCGGTAATAAATATATAAATCAATGTAGTGTTTAGTCGGTCTGAAAGCTCAATGTCACGGTGGGTACGCGGATCATCGAGTTATCAAGGACATGATAACAATTTATTCGATATAAGTCCGGCTATCGATTCGGTGTTGCTTCGGAATATTTCCGTATCGATTCGGCGGGAGAGCGTCGCGGGAGGGCACGTGACTCGTTCAAATATCCCAACAATCAGACAAGTTTAAATTAAATTTCATTACTAAATTACACTGTTTTTTACCGACGTAATTTACGTAAATTCTCTCGACGGGAGTTTTACATTTTTTACATCACTGTGAAAAGCTTGCAATTTTCGATTACTAGATGTTTCATTTTATTCAGACTGACGAAAACGCAGCACTGGACACATAAATACCATAAAAAATAGTATATTATGTCCCGAGGACAGATAAACCGCGAATTTTAACTTCACTCTGTTCGATTAGAACGCGGTTCTCGGTACTTGGGGCATAAAATATTACTTTATGTCCCTAGGACCATAAAACCGCGATTCTAACGTGCTCATGAGGGTCAGAGGAAGGGTTATAAGGGTGAGAATAAGAGTCATGAGGTTAAGAATCAGGTTGATGAGGGTCTGAATAAGGGTCATGAGGGTCAGAGAAAGGGTTATAAGGGTCATGAGGTTCAGAATCAGGTTGATGAGGGTCAGAATAAGGGTCATATGGGTCAGCTTAAGGGTCAGAGAAAGGGTTATAAGGGTCAGAATAGGGGTCATGAGGTTCAGAATCAGGTTTATGAGGGTCAGAATAAGGGTCATATGGGTCAGGTTAAGGGTCACAGAATAAGGGTCAGAATGAGGATCACGAGGGTCAGATTAAGGGTCACAGGGATCAGATTAAAGGTCGCGAAGGATATAATGAGGTTCAGAATCAGGTTGATGAGGGTCAGAATAAGGGTCATATGGGTCAGCTTAA